GCTCTTGCATGCTTATTCAGTCACTTTGGAAGTTTCATAGTGTGACACTCATATAAGTACTTGGGGGGAACATATCTCTGAGAACTACAAGTGGGGCAACTGGTAGTACTACGCTATCTGAAGATCTCCTGAATGACTCCTGTATTGGCAAGCTAAAAGCTTGGTTTCTGTTACTCCTCGGAACCACAAATCTTTTTTCCCTTCTGCTTTTCCCATAGTTCACAACAGTCATCCTTGCTACAGCTTTATGGAGTTGCTAAAATTGCATGTAAATGTAGACTAACTTACACATTTCAGTTGTAAAAAAAAAAAAAAAAAAAAAAAGAATAAATAGGTGCTGTAAACTGGAGATTAATGGACAATATAGTTAGGTGTTTCTCCATTAAAAAGTACGGTGGAGGGTCCAAAATTGGAAGATGCTATTTTAAAGCTTCTGTCAGCCATTGTGATAGTTGATGGCTGAAATTGTCCTTCATTTTTATGTCTTAAGTCTTCCTATCCATTTTTCTTTAGAGCAATACTGGGACTTTCTTAGTGGCAACGAGAATTCCAGTCAGTCAGTCTTTGGTATGCAGAATAGAGTGGGAGTGGAACGCATTTATGCTGTAACAGAATAACAACATTTTCCTCAGAGAAATTGCATGGGCTTGTTGGGACTTTCTTTAACACATTTCTGTCAGAAGCTATGGAAAGGCATTGTATTTGTGCTTCAATATGCTAAATAAGAGGTATTTTAGACTTAAGAATGTTATGTTTCACTTGATTAGCCTAATAGTTGCAACCTACAGTTATATGGTGCATTAGCTTTCAGTGCTATATAATAGGACTGGCAGCATGGTGTCCCAAAAACTGTAATTGCGTGGGCTGCTGAACAGTTGTAGAGAAAGCTGCACAAAAATTCTATTCTAGACAGAATTTTTTCATTTTGAAATGAATTTCACAACAAATTCACAGTTGGATGCTGCTGCTTGTATTTCCAGTGAATCATACTCCAGAAAAGTAATACTTTGCTTCAACAAAGCCTGCCACAAACAGTGCAGTGATATAAATCAGACATTGGATATTTCTTAATTGTAATTTTTCAAAATATAGTACAGTTATTAACTATGCCTGCAGGTCCTGACATTCAGATATGTTTGGCTTTGTCTCCACATCCAAAAATTAAAGTCCTTCACAAATAAGACAAAAAGAAGAACTGGGGTGAAATACCCTTTTTACTTATGTTCTTTTCATGGTAGGAAACTGACTCCCTGCAGCAATGGTTGTCACAAAACCACATATTTCATAGCATAGTTCGAACAAACCTGTTACACAGTGACCTACAATTTCCAGTCTAAATTTACTGATGGTCAGTTAATTTATAACTTCCATTCTTTCTTGTGCTGTATTGTTCTTCTCCTTAGATAGTGCTCCCTTCTTTCCCTGTCTGGTTCCATTAACTGGCATTTTTGGAGTGCACTTGCATCTTCTTTCCATCTTTGGTTTGTTTAGCTTGCTAAGACAAGGTCTTTCAGGTTAGTAGATGCTGCAGCTAAGGCAGCTACAGTTTCATACACATGGACTGTCTCTAAGCTGCTTAGCTTAGCACAGTTTGTGCTGAATTATCCACAGAACCTGTTTAAGAAACTGAGGAAATACGTGTGTTGGTGCTGAGCCCCCTGATCCTACAGTCATAGTGTGACTGAACCTGCTATGAAAGGTCAGGAACACCTAATTAGTGCTACTGGTATTGCAAGAAATAATCTCCTTTAAGCTCTCAGTTCACCCATTTGTCCTTGTGTGCATTACAAGGGTGGAAGATAAAATATGTCCGCTTATGCCCTTTCACTGAGGTTTAAGTTAACAGTTTTGTCATACAGCTGGGATAGGCTAGCAATATGCAACACTAACCTACTCCATTTTCACTATAGGTTCCATCTCAATTCCATGTAGTCAATTCATTCTAAGCTCTTCAGTTAGAAGACATAAATAACCATTTCATCTTAGCTATGAACCACCAGGCAATGGTGTTCAACCCCTGGAGCTAATGTCGCTGACATTAGTATTTCATGCTTTCAAAAACTGACAGTACTTAGTTACGGCAACTCAGTGACTAACTCTTTGAGAAGCATGTTATGGAAGGTTTCCCCAGACATAGTTGATAGGCAGCTTCTAGCACAGTCAAAAGTTGTTTAATTTAGGTACTCACAGCAGCAGACAGAATTAGCAGCTCCTATCCTGAGCCAAGTTGCATGAATGCATGAGAAGAGGCACACTGCCTTGGGAGTTTAGGTGGGATGGGTGGGAAATGAGCATTCTTCCTTGGAACCACATCACCCTCTTACACAACCCACCCACTTCGGTCTTTTTCCATTCCAACTTTTTACTCACCTCCTTGATAACACTTCTTCCCAGCTCAGTCTGCTGGCTACCTCTCTGCAGGAGACACGCGTGCCCTACTCTGATGTAGCAGGCCCCTCTCTGGGTCTCCCCAGCATAGCAGGGTTTGACTGAGATGCTTTATTGAGAAACAGTCAGTTGGGACAAAGTGATGCTGCTTAGTTCACAAATGAAATTTTGGTTGACTAAGGAACATGCTATGGCAGTGCTCAGGGATTCATAGAGAAGAGACACCATGAAAATCTTAATCTTGTGTGACATTTGTGCAAAAGTAAAATCACTGTTTCCACATGAAAGATCCTACTGTCACAACATGACATGAGGCTGGTAGGCAGCCAAAAGCTGAATACCGCATAGGTTTGCAGACCAAAAGCAATGCTTTACACCCTGAGATTAACTGAAAACCAGCTCCCAAATTCACCCTCTGCCTCTTGATGTGATTTGCATACCATCGTTCAGTGTCTGGTCAAGTTGTATTTGCTTCTGGAATATGATACAAATTTTGCCCTGCAGAGGATTTAAACTGTGGCAGAGTGAAGTAAAATAAGGATAAAAGTAGAAGAGGAAAAAGGAAGGGAGTGTTGCATTTCCACGTATACCTGTGATCTTTTGGTGTGGTTCAAGTATTGGTGTGTAACTTTCTTGCTTTGTTTTGCAGGGTTACGGGGTGGCAGCAAAAAAGTCCGTTTCATAAAAATTCTAGTACTGCTTGCTGTAAAAAGATAAAAAGAAATTTTAAGTTTTCAACCAAGTATACTTGTCGGTGGGTTAATATAAATGGAAAAAAAAAGACTGAGATTTTTCAAGGAAAATAATAAAGATAACGAGAAAAGGCACTAGAGATGTTTTGGAACATATGGGGAAAGGCCTATATTTTTCTTTACCTTTTTCATTTATTTGCAACTCTTCCAGAGTGAAAGTAGAACATTTATTCTAAAAAGATCTTAATTCTTTTGTGTGTTCAGAGAGCAAACTGCTTTTAGTGAGAGCAGTAAAGTTGTCTTTGACGCTGGCCTCTTCACTATGAACTTTTGAAACAGACACTGCCTTGGTACACAGGCCTGGGTGCAGAGCTCAGATACGCCCTGACTGCACGTTGAAACAAGAGCCACTGTTCAACGTCTCTCCCTCCACTTTGCCCCAAGCACCCTTGCTTCCAGATCCGTAATGCCCTCCAGGAAGCACCATCCAACCTTGCCCCCAGGCTGCATCACATCGCAGGTCAGAGATGCAAGCAATGAAAGTGTTTGTAGCTCATGCAAGAGGGTCCTGTTGTCCTTGTGTCCTACTCTTATAAAATGTTTGTCTGTAATTGTCTAAGTAAGAAAGAGAAAGCATCACCTTTTTAGATCTTGAGGCAAGTTGTGGGACCAATCATTAAAAAAATGAGCATGACTGAGATGGCACTTGTGAGACAATGCTCTATTCTCCCACAGAATAACTCATTCTAATGATCTCTGGTAACTCCTTTTAAGCTGTTTTTCATAGCAGGATTAAGTTGCTGCATCGGTGTTATCTGAGGAAAGGTGGAGCAAGTAAGATGAACTGATTAAAGGTTCACTTTGTAATTTTTATAGCAGCAGACTTAATCACACTGTGATCTCTGAGCTGTGTGGTCTCAACAGTATTTGTCCACGATTCTGATATTTTACTGCCGATTGAGTGTATTGAAGGGAGTGATGGGGTCATTGCACTTTCTCTGATTCCTGCTAGAGTAATCAAAATCAGAAGTTGAGGTCATGTGGATCACTGTCCCTTTCTCATTACTTTGTTTGCACTTCCAGCATTTATACATACTTTATTGAGTTTAATGCTTTCTAATTTTCCTTTACCTACAAAGTGAAGTAGCCAGAAAAACCTACTGTAGATCTTAGACAACTGGAGTACAGGTCTGGAAAGTTACTCCAGAATTACAGCAGCATAGGGGGACTAAGAACCTGTCCTAATTAAAGCACACTCTGCTAGATGTTGTTCTGTTTGGAATTTACTTTTTAGTATAAATTGACAAGCATTTCGTATGCTTGGCAAATAAAATGCTTATTTGACTTCTCCACCCTCCCCAAAAGGAAATTTCTACTAAGGCATGACATCTCCTATAAACTGCCATGAGTAATATCTTCTGAACCACTTTCAGAGAAACAAGAGTCCTTGCTATTTCTGTCTATAATCATAATTTACAGATAGAGAAGCTGATAAAGCAGTGAGATCTTCTTGAAGACTGTTATACAAACAAAATCTCTTGTCTTCTCTGTTCGTTAGAATTTACTAATCTGTGCCACGGTGTGTGTATTCTACCAACACATCCAGAACATATTTTTTAATAATGCTAGGTTTTTATTAAATTGCACTTTTGGTGAACTAGGTTGCCAGAGAAGAATACTGAAACAGGAACCTACTGGTTTTTTTAACCTTTTGCTGTACGGAAATGTGCCTTTCTCCATTTGATTTGAAAAAGGAAATAGACTGGTGGTGTGGCTATGGAACTTTCTCTTTCTGCCTCTGATTGCAAAAGTGGTAGTAAAAATTGAAAATAAAAAGTACAGTATTGAACAGTAGAATGTTATGGTGTTGTTGAGACAACAGAATGAAAGTAATCAATTCTTTTGTTTGTTTTGTTTCAGGTGTCAGAAACTATTTGAAAGAAGCATTAGTGAATATCATTGCTGTGCATGCAGAGGTGAGGAAAAACGTCAGATTGCTTCATGCTTACATTCATTTGATTTCAGCATACTTTTCATGGTAAATCCTGGCTTTAAAACCAGGGTTTAAAAACTAGAGTTTTTCACCCTTCTGTTGAAGTGTCTTCATTATAGGTATAAGTGTTTTGCATTAGGTTTAGCCAAACAGTTATGCAACTGCTAACTTTTTTACGAGCAGGAGGAGATGAGCAGTTCCTGTTTATCCTCACTAATACTCCATTACACCTTTTTTGTTTCCACTATCTGATAAAGAGAAAAGCCAAATTCTAGAGGTAATTCTTCCCATTTCATGCAGATTAATATATAGATATAGAGGTATAGATAGTTATGATGCTCACGTTCTCTGATTAACTTTATTTTCCACAACATATGTGAATGAACTTACGTTTCACCTTGAAAGAAACATTCAACATATGCCACTCAGAGTGAAAAGCCAATATATGTTAGTCTTGTACATATGATGAAAATAGGAAACAAAAACCAGAAATTTTAATAGTGTCTGTATAGCACAAATAGTGTTTGAAATACTTAAGTAATGGCTTAGGATAGGAGTGCATATTAAAATACTATTTTTAACATAATAAGCTTGGAGGAGCTGCAGTTACTTAGCCTTTTGTGATAATATGCAGGTATTTTCTATGGTACTTTAAATTAGAGCCTTATTTTACATACTCCTTCCTTTTAATTATCAAGTGTTACCAGATTACTGCTGTTCCTGGTAAAAGCATTGGTAGTAATATCACCATTGCCTTTTAAAAGGTATAACTGCTCTACCTTTTCCGTGTAATTAAAATCTGATGAGATCCACTTGAGGCTTTTGCTTATTTTATTTCTTCCTAAATTACAAGGATTCAAATAAATTAAAATATTTTCAGGAACTTCAAATATGATTTGCAGTATTTTTGATACAATTTCAGTGTTAAAATATAGCAGAAGCACTTTCACAGCAGTATCTCTGATTTTAAAAATTCTTCCAAATGAAGGAATAAGCAACACCAAAAACATATCCCAACATGATACTTACTTTTAATGTTGTCTTTCAATGTAGTGGAAATTAATTAAAATGAAAATTAGAGGTTCTGTTTTAAAATATTCAAAGGCATTAGTGATTTATTGAGCTAATCTTGTAAACATGCTTACTTGTTAAAATGCTGCAGCAGAAAGGTGCACTGCCTTGCTCTCTTCATTGAGACTGATACTGATTCTGGCCCAAATAGAATTGCTTCACAAATTTCTGGATGTGAAATATTACAGAAATACAAAAACATGTGTCAAGATGAAACTCCCATTTCCACTGGTGAAAATCTGTAAGCTGGGTCAGGTTTACGTTTAGTTAGCAAGGCTACAAGTTTCTGTAGTTTGAAACAGCAAAAATTAACCATCAGATGAACAGTGTGCATGGACTGAAGTGGAAAGAAAATTGTTTCTCTACTTTTGAATTTAAATTTAGCTGAAATCAAAATAAGGGCTTCTTATTGCAAATTTGTGATGATTCACCCTTGCTGAGAATTATTTTTCCTGGATTCTGTAAAGTAACTTCAAGAGTGCTCGTTACAGGCACAAATACTCTCTTCTCAGTAGAAGATCTTTGGGCACATTCCTGGTAGGTTTGTGTTGAATTGCTCAGCAATGTTTGGTGCTGAATACGATGACACCCTTCCAGATCATTACTGGTTGGTTTTTTTCTTACTGTACAGCTAAGTATATCACTTATGTAACTGTTTTGATCCAAAAGGGAAAACAGCCTGTGTGTTGGTAACAGCTGATAGGTGACATATATTTGGTCTTTGTACTTGGCCTATGGTACAGATAGACCTACCATTTGGAACAGACAGCCTTATAGGATCCCTGATGCGCTACTTAATCCATGAAAACTGTGTAGGAATCTTGCTTTCTTTTTTTTCCCCCCTTTCATTTATTTTTACACATCTGTATTAATATCTTCTGTCAATTACATTTCCTTGTCAGACATGAGGTCTAAACTTTGCGTAAAGAAAAGGTATTCTAGTAAAAAAAATCATTCCACTACTTAATTCTTTAGACCGTTTTAAAGCAAAAATCAGGAAAGCGTTTCAAAACTTCATGCAGTTCATTTTCCTTCTTGCACTCATCTTCAGTCTGTTGCGTCATCTCATCTCCCAGCCGTGTGAAGTTTTAATGCAGCTTTATCATCACCTTTTAGTTTTCACACAAGTTTGGTGTGTCTAACCTATAATCTCACTTCCTCCTATATTCCAGCTTCTTGGCCTGCATTTTCCCCAGTTCTGTTCAAAAAAATCATACCTTTTTTTTTTTCATTCACCAACAATTTCTCGCTTCCTTAAAGCCCCCTTAAAGAAAGAATGGTTTCTTCATGCTTTCCACCATGCATAGATTTAATATTTACTTCTGTGTTGCAGTTGCTACTCTGAACCTCAAATGGAGGCTCCAATTACCACTTTAAAAATTTGTACAAATAAGCAGTTAAAAAGATGGTCTTGATCCATGGGAAAACCAGTAAAGTATAATGTTTTTGCCAGGGATCTAATAAATGGTGGCAGTGGCAGAATCTAAATGAAAATCCATTGACACCATCATACTCTTAAAGCCTTTCAAATGCTTTTGTCTTCCACAGAGTATTAAGACATTTGAGAGTTGTCCAAAATAATGGAGTCTAGAAGAAAGAGCAAAATATGTGGGTAAAAGTGACTGAATGTGTAATTGTGTCAGCAAGTCACACAGCCCTGAATTAAGGGTGCTATTTACAAGACACCAGTCTTATGTACAACCACCCTGACTACGTGCATCCATCAGCCAAAAGCACATATTTTGTAGTCTAGCTGCTTTTTGACATTGCAAGAAGGTTGTTGTTACCACATATCACAGAGGTAACTTTGCTATTAATAGAGGGGATTAGTCAAAGTGCAGGGCAAGCACCAGACAACATGCTTCATATTCTAGTTGCTTTTGAATTTTTTTTGTCCATTGATAGAAATGAAGGGGTCCTTTCAGTCAAAGTGTTTAATGTTTATTATTGAAATGTTACTATCGAAAATATTTTTGTTAATATAGGGATTGTGCTCACAATTCTTCTTTCTTAAAAATTAGGTGTTTACCATTTCCAAAGACTTAGTTCCTCGAGTAATGTCAAGGGTTGTAGAAGCAGTCTCAGAAGAACTGAGTCGACTGATGCAGTGTGTTTCATCCTTCAGCAAAAATGGAGCTTTACAGGTACCTGAATACTTTGTACTGTCATACATCTGAATCTAGAAACTGGAGAATAACAGACAGAGGTATAATCTGTGTATTTGTTTGATTTATTGTAGCAGTGAAAGTAAGAAAATAAAAAGGATTAGTATACAATCTCTTTTAGATTTATGGGTAAATATCCTTTGGGATACTGGTTCTTGGGTTTGATTATAAATCACTGTTGTCTTTGTGTCAGACAGCACAAAAGGCTTACCTGTATCCTATGAGATAAAAAGCATCATAATGGTATCTGTTTGAAGTGTCATTAAATACTGTCTTTGGCCTGACATAAAAAAATTACTTTAAAAGAAAAAATAATTTTGTGATATTTTGACATTTAAAAATCTTGAAAATATGTAGTAGGATTTTGTGAGTCTTTGCAGATCTAGTCACTTGTCTGTTACACTATTTCTACATTAGTAGTAGCATGGGTTGAGCAGATTCTCTTACACTGCTTTCTTCATTTACAGCTGGATTGGTAGATGTACTTGCTATTGGATAAGTTTTAAAGGACCCTAAAAAAAAACTCTTCTAAAAAAAGTCTCTTTGAGTCCATGATTGCTATGACTGTAACAGAAGAAGAGCAAACTCCCTGTTTTCACTGCACATGGCAGCATTCTTGCATTATGACAGGAAAATAATTATCCAGTTGCTAGCCTGATTTTCCAATTGCTAGTAGTAATGGCATTGAACAGAGAATTAATGTAGTAAGATCACATCCAAATAAGACGGATTCCCTGTTTAAAACCAAATCAGTGAATAGCAACAGATACCCATATATCCCTTTTGTTTGACTAAAAAAACCCACTGTATGGACTTGCTGCCTAAACCCATAATTGAAAGGATTTTCTCTCCTTACTGTAAATTTGTCACTCGTGGTCATTTTCTGTTCCTCTAAACATAGGAAATCCTATCTGACAGGCAGCAGCAGTGTGAGAGTGAGCTGAGCCTCATCAGGCTGATGAAAAAATACTTATTCAAGTCTCATTCTGTATTCCCACATCTCATGACCAACAGTTTTGCAGGGTTCACCCTTCTGCTAGTTTTATTTAGGCTGTGGTACTTGAGAATGTGGCACTTCCCTGTGGTACTGCTATCTCCTAAAATGTAGAAAAAACTCCAGAATCTTATGTGTAGGACTTCAAAAAGCTCAAAAAGCTTGAGCTTGGAGCACTATACAAAAAGAGGTGAAATATTCTGTGGTGAGAAAAGCACTTCTTATGAATATAAAATTGGTAGGTGGCTATGTCGTATTTTGTTCTGGCTCTAAAAAAGCATAAATCTTAGCTGGCTTCCTACATAGGGGAGAAATGAGGGAAATACCTAAAAGCGAAAGCCTTTCATTAGAACTGGAATTAGATGTCTGTGTTGCATTTTTGAAAGTTTTGTTTTGGCAGATTATCGTCGTGTTAGTTGTGTCTAAGTATAGATCAGTTACTGTAAAGTCTAACTGGATTAAACTTTATGATGAACAAGAACAGAATGTGAATTTTGATGAAGTTCACTTTATATTTTTAATGAAATTGCTTAATTTTCATTTGCGGAATGTTTCTACTTCATTTAAAAGTTGTGATGATAATAATTGCTTTTCAAAGACTAAAGGATTATCTATGAAATTTGTTTAATGTTGGAGTTCATTCTCCACCATAGTTTGCCAATGTGAAAATCAATACCTAGACACATTAACCCTTCAGTAAATCTTCAAGCATTTGTGCCCACCAGGTGACAGACGAGAAACAGAGTACAATCATTCTGCTTCCTCATCTGATGGAAAAAAATAAGTTCAACAGAAGAACCCAGAATAAAATGTGTATTGACAAGTTTTTGTACTTTGCTGTTTCCTTCCTTCCTGGCCAAGCACTGCTGTAAGAAGTTAAGCTCACTATATTTAATTATCACAAAAAAAAAAAAAATTAAGGTTGCATCCTTCTATCTTTCTGTCACAGTACAGAAAAGAACTGAAGATTTGTTACTGGGAGACAAACCAGTGTTTTTAGACTGCTACATAGTGACCATGCAAACAATTTGACTTGAATCAAAAGCATGACATTGTTCCTTTTAGCAGTCTCCTGACGTAGCAGCGTGGCAACAAAAAATACAGGAAATAAACTGTTAAAAGTCAAGGCTGCTTACAACTCCAGCGTGTAATAGTATTTGCCTCTCAAAAAGGTGGGATACCGGTATACACTTGGTGAAAGGACATTGTGTCATCATTTCAATATTTGTATTTCTGTCTTTAGGCCAAGCTTGAAATCTGTGCATTGAGAGATACCGTGGCCATATACCTAACACCTGAAAGCAAGTAAGATGTGCTGCAATATCTTGTTTTTCAACATAATTCAATCCTTGGTAAACATGCAAAAACACATAATGTAAATTAAGAATTTTGCTTCAAATAGAATATATGATCTAGGTAAATATGTGAAAAACAGATGACTAGCAAGATTTTATCAGTTCAAAGTATAGTATTAGATTTTTCTTGGGTTTAGTTGAATTTTTAGACAGTATTTGCCACTTGAAAAAGTAAAACTTCTTAACAGCAGTACAGCTGCTGAAGATAATTGTACTAACACAAAACAGAAGCAAGTGTTGCTGAGTTTTGTCCATTTTTTCACAGCAATCTCATAAACCATACAACAAATAACCTGCTAGATACTTCAGAAAGGTTACAGAACCAGACCACTGGCAGGGACCCCTTATAGGGATATGGAGAATTAGGGCTCTCCACAGCCTTATATAATACCCTACTTCTTCTCCACACACCCAATCAGGGAAAGGAAATTCAACTTTACTGTCTCTTAGAATTAAAACCTTCAAAAGGCTTTGATTCTATTTATCATATCTCATTGAGGTGCAAGACCAAAGATGAGTAGTGTGGGGGACACACATTAATATAAAGGGAGAAGGAAAAACATGAGCAGTATCAGTTACTGATGCAGTCAAGGCATGTAAAAACAGGCTGTGATAGCTGTCAGCAGTTTTGATTGATTGATTGACATTTCTAGGTGATTATGTTGGGAATTGGATATGGACGGGTTCATTCATTATTTACCTACACTTCTTTTAGGATTGGCATTATATGTCCCTGCAGATGGAAATTTCATCATCTTACCTAATCAGCGGTTTGTAGGAGACATTGCAGGGCTTGAGGGCCTAATGTGTCTTCATAGTGTCACATATAGCATCCTACAGTGTCACTGCATTCCATTTCAAAATACTTCCCTATCCTGAGCATCTGGTAGTGATGAAGGCCTCTAGAAGAAAACTGCTTGGCACTGGATCAGATTGGATAAAATGGAAATTACTTGTCTCTAATCATCATGGGGCAAAGTACAGTGAACCATGAAAGCTGGAGCTGCATAGAGAACTTTATATTCCTGGATTTGTCACTAGTAGTAGTTGCCACAAGTCACCATACTAATCTTTGCTGATAAGATTGAACCTATGTGCAGGTCCTGCATCGTTCCCTGCGCTTCTGTTACATATCTGTTTTCGAGAGGTGGGTGGGAACTCCATCTTTGGAGTTACTCAAAACTTGACTGTAAAATGCCCCACAGAAACCTACTCTAACCTTGAAATTTACTCTATTTTAAGAGCAGAGTTGGACCTGAAGATCTCCAGATGTTCTTTCCAACCTAAATAATTCTGTAATCTACATTACCTCAATGCAAACCTACTGTAATTCTCTTTGTGGACACCCTTCTGTAAGGGAGAGTACCATGACCTCTCTACTGAGCACAGAAAGCCAAAATCAGTGTTTTATCTGTTCTTAATGCACCAATGACCATGTAGTTTGAGGCAGAAGGCAGGCTGGCAACTATCTGTTAATTCTTTAAGAGTCCAGGATGTGAAGCACAGTCTTAAACCAGCTACTGATTTAACATTTCCTGTTGATGTATGGTGTACATCACATTAGGAATGTGAAGAGACCTGCTTGAATGCATGCTACTTTATGCTCAATTTGCACATGAATATCAGGTCTTAGATAAATATTTTGTCAATTTATTGAAAAAAAAAAAAAAAGAATAGGTGAAATAAGCATCTCTCCATAGGATTTATAGAGAGAAATTGTGAATGCTGAGACTTGTATCAGTGGAATCTGAGTATTTTTTTTTCCTTGCAGATCAAGCTTTAAGCAAGCTTTGGAAGCCTTGCCTCAGCTCTCAAGTGGGACTGACAGAAAGTGAGTACCATCACACCTTCTTGTCTCCTTTTTGGTCTCTGGAACCATTGATTTTTACTCGTTATAAGAGAGCTTTGGTATAAGAGGGTTAACTTTCACTGTATTTGACCCTTCTGAATTACAGATCAGAAGCCTCTTTGGACAGAGTTAAGAATAAGCTAAGTCCTTGTTTATGGCCCATTAAATTACATAGAGTAGCCAATGGCTTTGTGGTGTATCCTACTTGCCCATCCTAGTCTTATCAGTTCAATGTAGCTTTGTAGTTATCTTGTAATTTCAGTCTATTTTAGCCTTTTTTGTTAATCTTGTAGTTTCTGTGAGGTCCATTGTATTGTCTTACTAAATTTAGCAGCCATAAAAAGAATGGCCAAGAACAAAGTCCAGGCCTTTGCCAACTGATACATGGGGAACTTTCAAAACTGGCCTGTTTCATTTTAAAAACAAATAAGGGTCAGTAGTTCTTTCTTAGCATCAGAAGGAGGAGTTCTGGGTTCTTCCTTCTCCACTATAATCACCTCTGATTATTATCACCAAGCTGCTTTACTGCATCCAACCTAGTATTTGGTAGTCTGTTTTACAAACATAGCTTAATAAAGAGTAGTATGGTAAAACTAGGACATATTTGTAATGAGTATAGTAGTATAAGTATAGAGGGTTTGAATTTGAGGTTGGTTTTGTTGTATCTTCCTGCATCAAATCAATTTGCACTTAACAGTCAGAATTTAGAATATTTTGTAGACATATAAAGAGATGGTTTGTGCACCCCGTGGTCTGTGGGCTGTGCCTTCTTCCAGATGTCCTCTGTCTGTTTATTCGAACCTACTCTTTGCTAGCCACAAGTCTCAGGATATCTCTCTGTCTTACTTAGCTCTTATGCTTTGTCGAAGTTAAAAATCAGTTTTGAGTAAGGAGAGTTCTTTCAACTCAGACTTTCCAAAACACCTGTAGAATTATTTTTTTCACGTAGTCACAAGCATCTGAGCTTCATGAGACAGATGAGAATCAAGAACTGCATCATTTTTATATCTGCCTCAGAGTTCTGAGCCCTAAACAGTGCAAAACTTGTTCTGTTTCCCAGGTCATTGCATGACAGTTGTCATTGTTCTAGGCCCCTATTGTAATCTACATGTATTTGTGTAAAATAACACATTTGTGCACTGATTGAGAGCTCTTTATGTCTGTTCACTCACAGTCATTATTGTGATGCTAAATTATGAATGTGGACATTGTCACCTTCTAGAGGACCTACTAAGAAAGGAGATACTGATTTTGTGGTTTAAGTTGTTGTTTCTGGGCTAGTTTGGGCTCTGTAAACACAAAGTGTAATTTTTTCTGTTACTGGCTGTTCAATAATCACAGCCTGCCAAAAAGTTCAGGTGATACATGTTTACCCTATATAACTTGTTTTTGAAATAGGGCAGAAAGTTCAGAGATCATATTGTTCCTTAGAATATGGAGAAAATAAAACACACAGCCAAGACTGTAAAACATCTTAATGCATCTCCTGTGTTACAGTAAATATTTTCTACAACAGGCCCAACAATGCCATTGCTCCTACACCTCCAGTTTGTGGATTATAATGAATATTATCCACTGCATCAAGTACCTTCTTGGCAGCTCTGTAGATATAAATGAACCATTGTTACGCTCCAAAATGGACTTGTACATAGTTTGTCAGTGAGGGACAAAAACAAATGGTTGCTGGTGAATTAATGTTTCTCCTAGAACATCCATCCTACCTATGATCTTTCAACCATGATTCTTGAGAGAAATCTACAAAATACCTTCTAAAAACAAGGTTTAGAACTGAAATTCACATTTCAACTACACAAGAAAACCCAGACTCTTGATAAGGGATATTGGATGGTATATAGCCTGGCAGTTTCTGGATTTTCCTTGCAAAAGTATCTTATGACACTCTCTACTAGGCCTTTTGCCAATGTGTTTTACAACTGTGTTTCTCTGAAGATGATGATCTTTATCAGGAAGGAAAGCCATATAAAGGGTAATTTTATCATCTTGATAAAATCTCTCTAAGTCTTCCTCTGGCCACAGATGACCCTGACATGCTTGGTATACTTCTAAATAACTATACTCTTCAGATATTTTAATAGATCTAATTTTAGACCTTTCATTTAAGCAGACAATGTACTTGAAATCACAGAGAGAATAGCCAAAACTTTTGGTAATTGTTCTCTTTACAGAATCTCCCAAAGCTATAATTATTTTCCTTTTATAGATTACTAGAAGAGTTACTAAACAAGTTCAAAAGCAGCATGCACTTGCAGCTGACCTGTTTTCAAGCGTCGTCATCAGCCATGATGAAAACATAGACAACAACACAACACAGACAAATGTGCTTAAACGTCACTCATTTTTTTCTGCACTACTTCAATTCCTTTGAAGACTCTGAAGAAGACAAAACCAGTTTCACTGAAAAAACAATTGAGATATACTCTTTCAGAAATGGTATGGGATGTCCTGCTGAGTGAGACTTTTGTTCATTTGTACTTCAATTAAATGGTTTTCTTTCTACTGTATTTCATTCTGTGGAGGGAGTTAAGTCGGTTTTGTTTACATATATTTGTTCATGAAGAAATATTCATTGGTGTTCTGCAGTCTCACTTTCATTTGTTAAAAATACCTTGAAATGTATTTTTAGCAAATACCGCCTCAAATTTGAGTATTACTCATGTTGTTCAGTGTATCAATCTGTTAATTTCTAGATGTAGAGTGATACTGAAGTGACTGGAATGCCCAACTTCTGTAAAGTGTTGAGAACTATGTAATAAGCATTGCTCCATAGAGCTGACTAATAACTGTCCAGACACCATATTAAGTACACTGCTTCTTTTGCATTTAAAAGGGTTCACTTTTTTTTTTTTTCCTGTTATCATCTATGGTTTTAGTGTTTGTAAGTCTGATTTCTTGGGTGGGCTTTTATTTTCTTGTTTCTTTTTTAATTAAACATGTCACTGCCTCTCATGTTTCTCCCTTTTGTTGGAATATTGATGATAATGTTTGCTTCACATTTGAAGTAAGCTCTACTTTCATTGACAATTAACAGAAGAGCACTCCAAGTCTCTAAGATTAGTACAAAAAGTGTTCAGGTAAAATATTCTTTGGTATTAAGGAGTAGAATAGTTAATAGCCTTTCACATAGTAAGGAGGATCACAAGATGTCATTTGTTTTGCTTCTTCCTTCTTATTTTTGTTTTGTCTTGTTCTTACAGGCTTACTACCACTGTCTTCCTCCTGTCAGTCATTCCTCTTTTCTTCTTTTACCACCACTTATCAAATTTGTATGGAGGAAAATAGGGATTTGGGAGAAAAGAAATTTTTTGCCATTGTTTTGGGGGGTAACAAGTGGGTTTAATTTTATAACTGAAATCATGGCTTGGAAGTAAATAATGCAGTAATAATATATTCTTTCAGTATTTACAGTGGTTTTGAGTAAGATGTTTCAGAAACAGTGCACAGTTTTCAAACAAGTTTTTAATGCCAGCTGTTTTCTTTTGCGAGTTCAATTTTTGCCACTTCAGTTATGTGCTTTAGAAATACAGAGTACAGTTGCTGTAATATGAGATATTGGAGAAAGTTTGATGTACATGTAGTTACTCATTAAAAAACCTGTGTAAGAGCATGTTGAATGGGAGTTTGAAGCTTCAATATATGTCATTATCATTTAACACCTGGAGCAATGTTGTTTTGTTAAATGTTGTCCAGTCTAAGCTGGTTATTGTCTCAGTTGCTGGTATTAACTGAAATAGTCATCGAGTTAGCTCATTCTGTAGAAGATTTCACTTCAAAATAATAAAATATTAAGAAATACAGTCATAAGCTCTTCTTGAATTTCTCACTTTCCAAGACGTGTTATGTCTTTGAATTTTACCAGTCTGCAATTTCTACATTCACATCAAACATGTTTTAAGTATTTAAAACATATTCTGTCATCTGTATTGAACTAACATATATTCAGGGATCTCTTTATTGTAATATCATTCTCTTACTCATCTTTTATGACAACAGCTTGTTCTTGTCTTTTAAACCTGAAGTCAAACTTTTGTTCCATTGCCTCTCTGAAGTAACTTATGCTCCAGAACATCTCATTGACAGCAAACAAGAATAATGTGTAAGCGATCAAAATATTCCTTGAATTCCACCTGATATGAAATAAATGTTCACAGTCAAGTCGGAGCACCATGTTTCAATAAATTCAGTTGGTAGATTAAGGAGGTCAGTGAGCATCATGCTGCAACAGGATGTATTGGAATCCCTTTGCGTGGAAGGAGAGTTTGGGACTGCTGAGACTTCATAACCAGCAGGCTGCAGTTCCTCTGAAAAGAAGATTAAAAAAATCAAGAAGTGGTCATTGTGGGTTTTGAAAAAAAAAAAACACCAACCAAAAGGCCTGTTAAAAATTACAATTAGGTTTAAAATATGTTATCGAAAGTGGAAAAAGATAGGGAGACCACATGAAAATACACAGTCAGTTACAGCTTGTAGAGAGGAGAGGCAGCGAGGAAATCAAAGGACAGAAGTGAAAGGCTATGGCATTTAAAGCAAGGTAAATGCTGGAAACGGTACAAGAGAAAATTAATTATTACATGGCCTTTGAACCTCTAGAAAAATCTAAAATCAATACAAATTGTAAAAAATATTGTCATTGAAATAAAAGCCTAGAGAGCTTTATTTCTCATATAAGAGAAGCATTGAGGAAGTAGTAAGGCTGTGAAACATACCTTACTAAAAGCAGGTGAAGACTTACAGGAAAACTCAACAAAAATATGCTGTGTTCAGATATTCAGCCACTGGAGGTGTCGAGGCATTCTCCTGTTACTGTATTTTGACATTTATTTTGAATAGTCATGAGTAGTTAAAGAGGTAGGTAAAGAGGAAATAAAAAACAAATGCTACATCAATGTAACTGGGGAACAACACTGAAAAAGTATTTAAATCCCTCAGGAAAGTGATGGGAAAAAATGGGGGAAAATCATTACTTATCTGTGTGTTAATGAAATACATCAAGTAAGTAGCATGAAACAATGAAGCATGAAGAAATCCTGCTCCTTCTCATTCACAAAATGTTTTTTCAATTGATATTATTTAGAAAATGTGTATGAAATATGCTCAGTGTGTCAGTTCAAACACCTTCCTATAGCTTTTTAAAAGCCTCTTAGTTTATTAATATAAAAGAACCATAGTCCTGCTACGTTTCATGCCTGTGCTGAATTTCTAGGATAAGAACAGGCATGAGATGACTGGAGGATCAAGCAAGTTGTATTCTGTGTGCTAATCCCCTTGCATCTTCTCTAATTGCGTGAAAAGAACCAGGACTCTGACCAGTTTAGTTTCACTGTATGGCAACAGAGAGGGAAATAAGAAATCCATGCTGCAGAGTTTTGCTTTGCAGGGGCACTTATGGCTGCACAATAATGTGTGACTGGTGCCAGTCTCTCAACATTTGCCAAAGCTATTGCATCTGCCTGAAGAGAGTATTTTATGGTGAAGGTGAGATTTATTTTTTTGTTTTCTACCCAGGCAGATTTTTGCCATCTAGAACTTCTGAAGTAATAGCATGTTTCCCCGCTCTATTGGTAAGCAGTGAGATGCAGATAGAATAGACCCCTGAAAGCTAGCTGTAATACTGTACAGAGCATGAGGCTGGGGAAAAAAAGGTAAACATAATTATAACTTATTCTGATTCTATTTTAGTTAAAAATATATATGTTCAGAAAAAACAAAGAAACCAAGAATAAGAATTGATTGTTGATATAAAGGAAGGTGTAATGGCAAATAATGTTTAAAAAAATCACAACAGAAGAATTTCATGGAACTCTTTGACTGCTGAGCCTACTAAAAGACATGCAGAAAGTCCCTTACTTGCAAAAGCCTAAGATTCAGCTGTGCAAAGCCCTAGGAAATGTATCATAACAATTATTCACACATTCAACTCCTTTTTAAAATTGAATGTACCGAAATTCAACTCCTTCTTAATAGTGAATGCACTGATAAGACATTTTCTGTTTCTAATCCAAGAGGAGATAGAAGATAGCAGTTTCCTAGATACAATTTTGGCCTTGTGAAGAAGAAAACATCAAGATTTTTTTGCCATGGTTACACACAGTATTCAGAGACAGTGCTACAAGGGGTTTATACTTTCAAACCTGCTGCTGGATCATATTTAAACCAACTCCAACCAACATTCTTGGACATGTCCAGCTAAAAATACTATTGAAACACTGTGGTTTTTCCTGAGGATATTAAAATGTACAATATTGATTTACCGATGGATCTAAATACTGATCTTTGTGTCCGTGCAGGTGTCTGGACTCACTAGCAGTGAGGGGCTTTACATGTTTTACACGCTATGAACGTAACTGCTATTTTACTTTTTTTCATTCAATAATATCTATAAAAATTAGAGGGAAGAGATCCTTAACCTTATCAGAACACATTTGAAAGTTGAACACAGTACTACTGCTGAAGCCAGAGATTCAGAATTCACATCTAGATCTTTAACACTGTCAAGCTTTGGCTCTCTGGATCAGATTGATCAGATGCATCTTATCCAGGGACAGAAAGAAGGACCCCTGGGCGTATATAGCATCTGCAGTCTGTTTCTGGTTGTTAGAATTTGCATGGAACTTAAAATTTTAGCATCAGTCACGAGTTACTAATAGAGTCTGAGTACTGTCAAAACAGGCAATAGCACATGCATTATTTAACTAGTAAGACACAAATATGATTTGTATTAGTTAGATTCCAGTAGGTTGAAATATTTGGGAATTCATTAAATTCAGTGATAACCTTCAAATAGAACTTTGGCTTTTTGGCATTTCTGGCCTAGTCTTCTAACTGTAGGAGTTCTGGGTGACTACCCTCACCTGAAAATAAAAATAATTGTAACTTGTAAATTCGTTTAAAAGATTTTTAGGAGAGAATCTGGTGTGTTTACAGTTCAAGGATAAAAAAATAAGTAACAAAAAATCCTGCTTGAACTTATCCTTAATTACATTCCAGCCTGTCTATATAGTGATAGTCTAAAGACTGATGGTTCAGTTTACTTGCTGTGTCCTCATTAGCAGTTCTTCTATTCTTCTGTGTCAAATGTTAGTATGAAGTGTGCACACATTAGGTTGGTTGCAGTTAGGACTGCTTCTGTAGTGTTAAGACAGGTCACTGTTTCTTTCAACATTCTCAAAGCCATGAAAAAAGCTAGATGGTTACTTATAGGCAAAATTAATTTTGCACAAGCTGTGTTACGTGTTAAAGAGTATTTTGGCTTCATGTGGTTGACAGCCTGTTTTCTGACTTTGCATCACTTACTAGAGTTTTTTGGCATGAAATGAAAGGGAAAATTGGGAGTAACAGGGAACACAGTTTCATAAGGGAACACGACAGCCATTCCTGTCTTCACCTTTTTAAAGTTCTGGTTTTATATAATGCTGCCAAGGGTTAAAAGGAGATTTGGGCAGTACAGCTCCATTTCTCTTGTACTGTTTGAGCTGCAGAGCTCTAAAAACTTGTCTTTAATGAAGGTATTAAGAGAGCATGTCCAAAATGGTTTATTTATTTCAGAACAAGGTGTTTATCATGTAAATTATATACTCCTTTCAGTATTACTGGACAACCTAAGGGGGCTTTCCTTCAGAGAGTCATCAATGGAACCTTGAAGTCCTTCAAAATAATGTGTCTTGACAAGTAACTTAAATAACAGAGTTTGCAACATTTATCACTGCACCAAACGGCAAAAGAAATGATGCTTTTGGAGCAGCAGCACTAACAGATCTGGTGCGGGAATTTGGGGGGATCAAACGGCAGGACTAGGGAGGCTTCTGTATTGCACCTAATTGCTTCTAGTCTGAACATCCAAGAAGACATCTGTGTTCCTTTTCTCTCATACCCTCACTATTTAAAAGTTTGTAATAGGTTTTGTACAGCTCCTGCAAGCAACCCTTCTTGAGACCAAAACCAAGTAAAGGAAGTTTTCAGCCAAATTCCTTTTGAATTGCAACTTTTAAACAACTTGAGGGAAAAGGAGTAAGACAATGGAAAGTTGAATCCAGCCTTATTTGTAACAGATGCTATTAATGCATGCTTAGTTTTATAAGCCTATTCTGGCACCCTTTCACCTCTTTCTTCTGAAATAACTTTAATAGTAAAAGTTCATTTCCAGTCCCAAGCAAAAGCACACAAATAAAATGGGCTAATAGTCTCAATAAAGCTCATGAAAAATGCGTTAAATACAAAGTAAGGATTCAGAATTATCTTTTCCTTCATTCCTGAAATGGGCTTGGGGCTGTAGGTAGAGGAAAGGAGAACTTTGCTTTATGCTTCTGGGCCCTGATGACACCTGTGTGGTGAAATTACTGCAGTTCTGGTGTGACTGCAGATAACCAAGAGGTTCAGTTTAGACTAAACCTGAAGGCCTGTATACCCAGTTATTTCTAAATACACGGTGATATAGAAACAACCACAAGAGTCTTCCTTTTGGTGGCAGGGGGTTTCATGCTGCAGTACTAATGCAGCAAAATTTTTGTGGCCACAGATTCTGCTTCAACCAAGTGGAGCACATGCCTTGCTTTTCTTGGTTCATAAGCAGATTTTTTTAGCACAGAATGTCAAATCAGATAATTTATAAAGTAAAATTAGCAAAATGAGACAGTCTTTCTCACTGCTCATTACTCATTTTTTCTGATAAATTTCACTCATTTAACTAGATTGTACTTCTACTCACAGAGGGGCTTCCCGTTCCAGCTTATCTTTTTAGATATTCAGTAGATAATTAAAATTCAAAATGTTAACGGTGCTGCTTATTTTTAGAACTTGG